AATATTAGATACAAAACACTGTTGCAAGATACCCATTTTGGGGTTTAAGAGTCTTGCAATAATGTTGGTCTAAGGGGCAAATTATGTTTAAGTCTCCATCGATTCTGGAAACAAAATTAATATAGTGTGTGCATTGGTTAGTGCTAACCGAATCTCTAACTACACGCGCCTCCGTTAGCGCGTGGTTCTTCGTTAAAGTAGAAAATAAATAAATCAAAAGGTTATGTTTGCCGAATTTGCACATTATGGGAATTACAATTATTATTTTTAAAAAATCTCAAGGTTCATTGTAATGTTTGGTCTCTTTTAGCTTATATTTAGAGATTGGAGTATTTTTTTACTAAACTCTCTTGTCAATCTTCTTTTTGTTTCTGTGTGCACATAAATATATATTTCTCCTTTTTTAATATTATGGAAATTTGAAAATATACTATGGTGTTTTTTTGTTTTTAATGAAATTTCAATTGTGTATGCGTTTGTTAGATTCGGTCGTACTAAAATAATTCTCTCTAAATTTGGTATTGAAAAGTACAGTTCGACCTATAAAAAAATTAATGTACTATATTATATAAATTCATCTCAATGCTCCATCTTCGATTTTAGAACTTGGAAATATGTACGTGCAACAATATTTTGGAATTCAAAAGTATATATCCGAGTGTTGTTATAAATTTTTATTTTGTGTCAAAGAATTTTGTTTTGTATTATTAGTGCAACTAAATTAGAATTTTATTTTCATAACTTAAGCTTATTAATTAAAAAGGCATGTTACAAATTCGTAATAATGTATAGTAGTAAAAAGTAGAACTGTTTTAAAATAAATTTAATACGAATCAAAATTCATCAAACAGATTTAAAATGAAAGTCTAATAATTTGTGCTAATATGTTGAAAAATATAAATTAAAATAAATTAGAGTACTGATTGGTAATAGTTGGAAAAAAAAAAATGAAACGGCATTGCATATTTGCATGCATGTAGCGAAGAGGTAAATAACAAAAAGAAACGACAATACGTGTGTGTGTATATATATAGTAATCAAAGTTTTGGAGTTAGCATTATTTTTCATATAAGTTATTGTGAGATTTTTAATGACCATTTGATTGACGGTAATTATGGTGATACGGTGCACCGACTCAATAAGAAATTTGCATAAACTCGGATATATCAAAAACTAATCTGAATTTAAGTTGTGAACCGCCGATTATAAAGCATGAGTCAAAGATATTTTATGACTAGGTTTTGTTATATTATACTATATGATTTTATTTTATTTTATGTAAGCATGTATAATCCGCATCCTACGTTATGATCAACCCACCTTTAATTTCATTTAGCCATTTAGGTTTATATAATTAAGATCTGATTCTTTAAAGTTGCGTTTAAAACTTTAAATTGACGTAAGAATAGAGAGTCATGTTTGGAAGTTGACAAAAAAAAAAAGGTGAAGTTTAAGTACGAAGTACACAGTCTTGTTGATCGGGCAAAACACCATACTATAATAGAAACTGTCTTAAAACGGAAGAAGAGGCTCTTGGTGAAGCAGAAGGTCTAATAAAGTTAACACTCTAAAGAAGGTCTTATTATGATCCTAATCAAATAATATCAGCAACATGAAAACGTTTAGATATCTAGACAAGACCTTTATATATATAACCTTTATTGTTGAATAATTTCCAAAACGTTGAGCCATTCGTTGTAATCTCAAATTATGAATACACACGTACGTACGCATGTTAAAGATAGTTATAGTCCATCACATTACATGTAGTGTAATTAACAGTACTACATCAAAAATAACGATAAAGTAGTACCATATTACTATATTATAGCAACACGAGTACAAAACCATTTTCATTTCAAACTACTAGCAAGTTAGGTCATAGATAACTAAAAACGTCTTTGTAGATTAGGTCTTGGCCCATTGAAGCTCTAAATTGGACCATTCATGGTTGAATATGCTTTATATACACCACGAAAACGAGATATTTTTGTCGGTGCTGATTTATAGACTAAACACAAGTGATAATAAACAAAAACAAAAAAAAAAAGCAAAGAGATAACATTCTTTAAGCACCATTTACAAATTCTTTAATAACAAGTTATGAAATATGAATTTATGAAAACACATATTTTTATAGAAAATATTATATTTGGGATTCAAAACCGAGAGCGCCCATAGGAGTGGCCAATTCTTCCGGTTAATTCCGCTTTAGACCCACTTTTGATTTCCTTTATTTATTGTCGGAAGCATATGATCGATCCATCAACTTAACTTATTTTAAGACATTAGTAGTACTAAACTTCTGAAGTAATTAGTTTTCTAATAATCTTGAAATAAACAAGACAGTAGTACTAAACTTCTCAAGTATTTTAGTTTTCTAGTAATCTTGAAGTATTTAGTTTTCTGACGTATTCAATACTTTACCTTTTCACATATCTATTTTCAAGTAAATCAAATCCAGTTAAGCTTTACGCTAAGTAGGTTTGCTTCATACCAAGAAAGGGTCATTATCATTTTTGATTAGTGTATATAGCTTCTCTCTAAACACAACACCATAACACAGATTTTTCTTTTGTAACTAGTAACGCTAATCATGCTAGTATGAGACATGATAGGCTAGGTCCACTGAATATGAGTAGTGGATGAGAAAAAAAAAAAAAAAAGCACTTTCCTTGTGAAGAAGAAAGAAAATTCACATAAATTAGGATACAAGAAACATAATGAAGTGGCCAAAAACCCTTAAAAAAATATGAAAATCTTCAAAATACTTATGGTCACATGGTTGTATGGACTGAACTTGGACTTCTCTGCGTAATCCTATTGTTCCTTTTACATTTCCAAAGCAGATTCTTATACATTTTTCTTTATTATTTAATTGACACTCAATATAGAGTTAAAAGAATAGTCTATTGAAAGAAACTATTGTTTTTGCCTCCAAGTAGGCAACTATGCAGAGAATTACAACACAATACAGAAACAGAGTTTTAACTCTTCACTTCATTGCCTATAAATACTCTTTCTAGATTTTGTACTCGACCAATCTGTATCTGAGAACAAATATCACAAGAGATGGTTTTTATCAAAGAGAGAGAGATGGAGATTCCAGTTATCGATTTTGGAGAATTGGATGGAGAGAACAGAAGCAAGACCATGTCACTTCTTGATCATGCATGTGATAAGTGGGGCTTCTTCATGGTATGTTGTTATATATCTTCATGCACAAGCGAGAGTTTTCTATATCCTTTAAACTATCGATGAATTTGCAGGTTGATAATCATGGAATTGATAAAGAGTTGATGGAGAAAGTGAAGAAGCTGATTAACTCTCACTATGAAGAGCATCTGAAAGAGGATTTTTACCAGTCAGAGATGGTCAAAGCTTTGAGTGAAGGCAACACCTCAGATGCAGATTGGGAAAGCAGTTTCTTCATCTCTCATAAGCCAACTTCAAACATCTGCAAGATCCCTAACATTTCAGAGGAACTCAGGTAAAGTAACTAAAGAAGTTTAATAGTTCCAAAGGCTTTACCATTTTACATGTTTGCTCATTATATACTGAACACTGTGAGAGGGGAAACTGATATTTGCAGCAAGACGATGGATGAATATGTTTCTCAGCTGCACAAGTTTGCAGAGAGGCTCTCAAAGCTCATGTGTGAGAATCTTGGTCTTGATCAGGAAGACATAATAAAGGCGTTTTCTGGTTCAAAAGGTCCAGCTTTTGGGACAAAAGTGGCTAAATACCCAGAATGTCCCCGTCCTGAGCTCATGAGAGGGCTGAGGGAACATACTGATGCTGGGGGAATCATACTACTCCTGCAGGATGATCAAGTGCCTGGTCTTGAGTTCTTTAAAGATGGGAAGTGGGTTCCTATACCACCATCCAAGAACAACACCATTTTTATCAATACCGGTGATCAACTCGAGATACTGAGTAACGGGAGGTACAAGAGTGTTGTACACCGAGTAATGACAGTGAAACATGGAAGTAGACTGTCGATTGCTACGTTTTACAATCCAGCTGGTGACGCCGTGATATCTCCAGCTCCAAAGCTCTTGTATCCAAGTGGCTTCCAATTTCAAGACTACCTGAAGCTTTATTCAACTACCAAGTTCGGAGACAAATCCCCCAGACTTGAGACCATGAAGAAAATGGAAAATAGGCATTCAGCCTAGGAAGCATCATGCATCTGGACTTCAGTGCTGATTCACTTTAAATTTCTCCCTTTTTTTTCTCTTAAAACTTGTTTTCCCTTTATAAAGAAAATAACAGCCATGTCAGGATCATGCTGATTCAGCTATACTACTTCATCAATATAACCAGCACTTCACAAGTTTCACCACTCTGTTCCACTTAATTCACTCTTATACTCTTTTGACTACTGAGCATCAAGACGTTCAGGAAAAACTTAAACAAATCACCTTGAAAATGAAGTTATCCTATCTTTCCTGAACGTCAATGGGCACATCCACACCTACTATTCAGAGCTTGTAATAGTTCATTATCACTTCCACTGACAAGCTCTAAAGCAAAACTGAAGCAGTCTCATCAAATTCCTTAAAGTGTCCCTCACTGTATCAAGTCAAAGTTCTCGAACTTGAGATCATCAAGATGTAATACTTTAATGCTACCCACAAATTTCTCCATTATCTTCTACCCACAGGATCATGCTTGCAAAGAAATAACTATCAGACAAAGGAACTCACAAGTTCATCGCAAATACACAAAGTCTTCGGTGCCACGTTGTTAGTTCTCATTGGTTGATAACTTTGGTACTCACAGAATAGAAGAATCTTCTCCTTCGAAATAAAAGCTGTTACCGCGAAAATGAGACGCGCCGAAACGCGCGTTCAAAGGAATCTCGTGTTTCCGCGTGTCCATCCATGTGACATGATTCCACTCCTTAGATAAAACCCAAAAAGCCGGTCCAACCAGATTAAACCAGTTCATTTTATTATACATCGCATTAAAGTAAATTATCCCTTTTCACCAGTTCACTTTCGTCGTAAACCAAACATTTATATGTTTAATTAATCGAATAAGATAACCTCTCTTTTTAAACCAGCATCAAACCGGAAATTGACTTTACCGGACCGGACCAGACAGAACCGAACCTAGTTTTCTGTAAATAGGAGTAAACAGGTTTCACACATCCCATCATCTCTAACCACCGACCTCATAAGAGAAAAACAGAGACAACAACAACACTCCTCTCACTCTCATAATCTCATTTTCATTCTATAAAAATAAAATAAAAAGCTCGAATCTTCTTCAACTCAGAGAGAACAGAGAAGTCGATGGCGTTAGCGAATAACTTAACGGCGATACTGAACTTACTAGCGTTACTCTGTTCCATACCCATAACGGCGTCAGGGATATGGCTAGCTTCGAAACCAGACAACGAGTGTGTCAATCTCCTCCGTTGGCCCGTCGTCGTCCTCGGCGTTCTCATCCTCATCGTCTCCGCCACAGGTTTCATCGGCGCCTACAAGTAAGTAATCAAAAGGACAAATTTTTATGAAAAAAAAAAACAGAGCATTCAATTACAAAGATCTAAACTTTTTTTGAGTTCTCAAAATTCAGATACAAGGAGACTTTACTAGCGGTTTACTTGTGTTGTATGGCGATACTGATCGGGCTTTTGCTTGTGGTTCTGATATTTGCTTTCGTGGTGACCCGACCCGATGGATCGTATCGTGTTCCGGGTAGAGGTTACAAAGAGTATAGACTTGAAGGGTTCTCGGATTGGCTTAAGGAGAACGTTGTGGATTCCAAGAATTGGGTGAGGCTAAGGGCTTGTTTGGCTGATACTAATGTTTGTCCTAAACTCAACCAAGAGTTCATCACCGCCGATCAGTTCTTCTCTTCCTCTAAGATCACTCCTCTCCAGGCATGTTCTTTATTTCTTCTTTTTTTTCTTTTACGAAAGAACCCCGAAACTTCTTGTTTGTTACATGAGTCTCCCCCACACTTTCATATTTCAGCTTTAGGTTTGGTTTAGTTTTTATGCACTGGAAGTAGATTATGAGGGAATAGGGATAAGTATATCTGATACAAAAATGTTGTTATGATGCATTCACTAAACGTTGTTGATACGTCCACAAGCCAAATCATATAACTTAGTTATCGACTTTGTAACGAGAATGTTTTGTAATACTTAAATCTCTAGATTATGAGAGACCTATGGTTTGGTTCTTGCAAAAAGAATAGAAAGAAAGGTCCAATTTTTCCAAAAAAAAAAAGTATAAAGTTATAAATTTCTCTTTAGCTTTTCTGAAGTCCAAAAGAGAGCATTGTTCTTATTCTCTATATTCTTTTTATTTGTTTTGCAGCTTTAAGTTTTTTGGTTTTGTATCTTTGACAAATCTTTAGAAAAAAATGGTTTCTGACCTAATTAATCTTATGTTTTCTAGTGTTGGAGTGGAAACTCAAATATCGTAGTTAGTGCCATTTTATGGTATACTTAGATTTAGGACTTTTATGTAATCACCATTATTGAACACATATGTTATTCCTAGTAGACTGGTGTAGAAGTTGCTGGAGACCAAGTCCAAAAATATTTATATAGGAAGATAATGATCAGAATTCAAAATTATACACTATCATAAAGACCCACCTATGCACCCACAATATGGTACATGATAAAATATGTTTTATCTGTTTATTAATTATACTTTGTCCCTTTGTCACTATCTCACTCACACAAAAACTCAATGATCCCATTCACTTTAGATTAGTCTTTTTTATATATAGCCCAACTCAAACTTGACAAAATTTCCAACTTTTTTCTATTCAAAAGTTATGGATTACAATTATTTTCAAAACTGATTTTCATGTCTATTAAGCTTGAAACATGGAGTGATTAAGGGCATAGCTAGGCTAAGAACTTTTGATCGAATAAAGTATTGAATCAAAAGGAAGTGGTAACTTTAAATCTTAGGTTTTTGTTATATTTGAATAAGATTTTGGTATTACTCTGTCGATTTTAAGACTTAGTTGTATGCTATTATCATCAAAACTTTATTTAGATCATGCATGTTGTTCCTTAAATTTCTAGCAAGTTGTCATCCTAGTCCATTGTCACTGCCACAAGATTAGAACCAGTCACTAATAATTAAGTAAGCTAGCTAGATTATGAGGTTTTGACTGAATTGTGTATCGTTATCGTCATTAGACATTATTAAATATTGGACCAATGATGTGATCAATAATTACAAGTTACAAGTCTTTGTCTCCATCATAGAACATAATAGATAATTATATCCCTCCCATGTTGCCCCACTCACATTATTAGTCTTCTTATTTGGATTATTATTAAGACGGAAGAAATAAGTAGATTTCTAAGAAACAACTATACAATTTCTCTTCCTCAAAGACAAAACCAAAATTTACTCACAAGGAATAAGAAAATTTCTAAGAAAGAACTGCAAATTACTTTGATAAGATTACAGCTTTTATTTTTTCCAAATGAATCCATATAGTTGTTTTTAGCCATTTAAGCGATTTAAAATGTAATTTTTATATATAAACACAAACACCATAGGCAAATGGTAACGTTTGTCTTCACAGTTGGATATTTTTCTATAACTTTTGTCAAAAATTTGCAAAAATAGTATAAGTACTTTTACATTGATACAAGAAAAAACAAATTTGGTCATATCTGATAATGACATTGTCTTGAATGTTTTCACAGTCCGGTTGCTGCAAACCACCGAGCGCATGTGGATACAACTTTGTGAACCCAACACTGTGGCTAAACCCGTCGAACATGGCTGCAGACGCAGACTGTTACTTATGGAGCAATGACCAAAGCCAGCTTTGCTACAATTGCAACTCATGCAAAGCTGGTCTATTGGGAAACCTCAGAAAAGAGTGGCGTAAAGCAAACCTCATACTTATCATCACTGTCGTTGTTCTCATATGGGTTTATGTTATTGCTTGTAGTGCGTTTAGGAATGCTCAGACTGAGGATCTCTTCCGCAAATACAAACAAGGTTGGGTCTAAATTGTATTTTTGTGTATACATTTTTCTTTCTAGTTGTTGAGACTTCGGAAATTGCTTGTGATATAACTTCTTTGTATTTTTTAAAGTGTTATTTTCTTTTCGTGGATATTTTTGTATACGTTTTTTTTTGTTAGATTTCGTGTTTAAAGAAAAAGCAAAATTGACCTAATACATTGTTTTTGATTTTTACATTTTGACCTATTTTCTTATTTTTGGGGTTTAGGTGGTGTTTAGAAGATTGGGCTATTGGTTTACTACTACCGGATGTAATAAGACCAACATTATCAATGGGATCTTAGAGGCTAAGATCCCACCAATAATGTTGCCCTAAGCTTCCTAAATTGCAAGGTCGATGAATGATTCATGTAAGGTTGAGTTTATGCTTAGAACATTTTTGTTCTTTTTTTTGACATGGACCAAAAGAAAGTGTGATATTTAAAGTAAATTGTAACAAAATGTCCAACAGTGATTGTTGTTGTTAATTTGGGTAATAGAGAGTTGTCTCAGTTTCTTCTTCTACTAAAGAAAAATCATTAACCGTTGGTTAAAACATAATTATCAACAAAGACTACTCTTTTGTTTTGGAGCTCTCATCTTAATATAATTGAGAGAGAGACAAGTGTGTGTGTGTGTGACGTTCCAACGATAAGAAAAACAAAACATAATTGCTAAAGGATACAGAGCTCCTTTCGTCCCTGTACAGTGTACTTCTTTCTCAATCTTTGTTCCCTTTTGTTCACAATCATATAAAAATATTAATTTAACAACACCGCAACTAAAATGTTTATTATTCCAAATTATATAAACCTAAGCTGTCTTTAGCTACATTACAATTCATTCCTAACCTTAAATTAATATGATCCGGAGAATTTTGTTGTAGTTTTCTAACGTGGTTGAGTCGAAACTTACTAGGCAAGTTCCTTTAGATCCATAAAATAGTATATTCATATCCAAGATTAGTCCACGATTTTAACATTATGTTACAACTTGTATAATAACATGTTTCTTGCATAAAGAGTATCCCATTCGGTTTAGTTAAACCGAACATTTTACTCAATTATTTTTAATAAATTGAAACCATAAAACATGCCAATTATTATTTTTGTTTATAAATTCATTGTGAATATAATTTTTATATATCTTAATATTAGCTATTTATTATTAAATTTACAAAATTGAACCGAGACCAAACCAAACCAAACCGAACCAGATACTTCCATTTGCGTAACGTAGTTTCATACTTTGTATCTTCTATAAATAGTTTTGTTTCTTCAGAGAGCATTCCAAATTCATAATTCCTCGTTTCCCGGATCTCTCCCTAATCTCAAAAACCCGACCCATTTACGCAACCCAAACCCGGGTTCAACCCAAAAAAATGGATAAGCCAAGCTTCGTAATCACAGCCAAAGAAGCTGAATCCGCCGCGAAACAACTCGGCGTCACCGTCTCCAAGCTCCTCCCTTCGCTAGTCAAACCAGCGGAATCCTACGCTCGAACTCCGATTTCGAAATTCAACGTCGCAGCGGTCGGACTCGGATCATCGGGTCGGATCTTCTTAGGCGTCAATGTCGAATTCCCAAACCTCCCTCTCCACCACTCAATCCACGCCGAGCAGTTCCTCGTAACAAACCTCACGCTCAACGGCGAGTCTCACCTCAAATGCTTCTCCGTCTCCGCCGCGCCGTGTGGTCATTGCCGCCAGTTCCTCCAAGAAATCCGCGGCGCGTCTGAGATCAAAATCCTAATCACCGATCCAAAAAACTCCGCCGATTCCGATTCCGCCGCCGACTCCGACGGATTCTTACGTCTCGGAAGCTTCTTACCTCACAGATTCGGTCCCGACGATCTTCTCGAGAAAGATATCCCTCTTCTCCTCGAACCTCACGATAACCGTCTCGCAGTCTCAGATCTCGATTCGATCTGTAACGGAATCGCCGATCCCTCCGCCGATTTGAAACAGACGGCTTTAGCGGCGGCGAACAGATCGTACGCGCCGTATAGTTTGTGTCCGTCGGGAGTAGCGTTGGTGGATTGTGACGGGAAAGTGTACAGAGGATGGTATATGGAATCGGCGGCGTATAATCCAAGTTTGGGACCAGTACAGGCGGCGCTGGTTGATTACGTGGCAAACGGTGGTGGAGGAGGTTACGAGAGGATCGTCGGAGCGGTGTTGGTGGAGAAAAAAGATGCGGTGGTGAGACAAGAGGAGACGGCGAGGTTGTTGTTAAAGACTATATCGCCGAAATGCGAATTCAAAGTGTTTCATTGCTACGGAGCTTCTGCTTAGAAGAAAATAATCATTTTTTAATCATCGCAAAAAAAAAAAAAAACGAATAAAAAAAAATGTGACTTTTTAAATTTACTTCATATAATTGTTGAAATTGATGTGTGCTTCTCTCTCAATGATGTGGATAGATTTTTAAAAAGAATAGTGTTGATGACAACACATAAAGAGAATAAGAAAAAGTTTTTATTTTATTTTAATATTTTAATGTGGATAATAATTTTATGAATTGTATTACTATGTTTATGAAATAATTTTTATCTTCTTTTTTTGTGTGTTGGTAATAAATTATGCTCCTCCAATTTTAATTTTAATGATAATAATTTTATGAATTGTATTATTATGTTTATGAAATAATTTTTATCTTCTTTTTTTGTGTGTTGGTAATAAATTATGCTCCTCCAATTTTAATTGGTTTATATGAAATCAAGGATAGGTGATGTAAACTATATCAAATCGGCCAAATCAAGATCAAATTAGATAATGAGTAGATTATATATTTTGAGGAAAAACAATTAAAAAAAGGTTTAAAGTTTAAACTACTACGGTCATAATGTTGTGTTAGAGTGTTTTTAGTAACATGTACTAGTCTACTAATTCAAAACTCCAAAGATTAAAAGTTATGACTTCGGTTCGTTTTATTACACGTAAAATAATGATGGTTCTTTTATGTTTCATGTCAAAAAGGCAAAAAGTAAATTTACATATTGATGATGCCTTTACACATTGAAGTTGCTGGAGTAAAGGTTCAAAATAGGAAGCATGAGAAAAAAGAGAATCTAATAATAAGATGGATCCACTAGCAACTCCTGCTACTATGAGTGGTGAACGATGAATCTAAGATTTGCTTAGATGACTTCATTTTTCATTTCGAATAGTTTTCTATAAACAAAAAGATAGGATCATATTTTACTATGAGCTCTACAAACCTCTAATTTGTTTTCTAGTTATCTCCAGTTTGGAGCATTACAATATAAATGCTAATACTGCATGGTTAACTTCTCTCGATTCAAATTAATATGATCTATTAAACAATTTTTAAACAAGAACGCAGACTGTAGACATTAAGACATATATGTATTATCTTCCAAAATACACAAGAGAAGCCATTGTAGACTGTGGGAGCTGAAATCCACAAACTGGAATAGGGTAAACTTGAGTGGGCTCCTAATTCCCTGTCCGAACTCGAAGTAGAATTGCAAAGAGTGGAGAGAATTGTATATAGCTTTATTCAGTATTTTTAGACAAAAGAATCCGACCCTTTTACATTTGGTCCTCCCTTACTACTTATACAAATTCGATAAACATTAAATGCCAGGCGAGCTCCGCTCCGCGAATCACGCACTTCTCATCAATGCGCCGTTTGACCCGCTGATAGCCCGTTTCGATTCTCCTCTTGAATACTCGTAACTTTCTAGAATTCTCCCAGCGAAGTGAGCAGTTCCGGGAACATGCTTATATAAGTGAGCCCAATCGAAGTGGGCTGCTGGCCCGGGATGCCAATTCCGGTACTCACATAGACTTGTCGTAGTTTCTCAAAACTGAAGTTAAATGTCAGCCACTTACTCATTTTTTGTTCTGTCGATTGTTTTGTTTCGCGTCTTAGGTAAAAGACATCAAAAGTGTCCTTCTATGTTAGACATCAAATTGTCACAATTTGAGTTACGATATCAACATCTATCTTAAGAGATTGTTGTGTCACTTTGCATTTTTATTTCCGATGTGACATGCTCATGAGAGATAATGTTTGATTGGGGTTTTTTTGTTGTTTTGCACACCCTATTATCTCTACCACGTTGGTTCGACCAGTTTTGCTTGAATAACAAGATAAACCGGAACTTAACCGGGAATAATTTATGAACTATATAATGACCGACTGAAAGATCTCAACCCGTTTTTAATTACAAAGAATGCCCATATACACAACCGGACAACTAACCAAAATGCAAAAACTGCGTAGACATGTCTACTCCTGTAATCTGAAAACATTATGTGATATAGAAAAAATTCGGAAAAAACATTATGGACATGGATCATAAGTGGCCCAACTAGGATATGTCAATAATAAGCCCAATATCAGAAGAAAACATTACTTGTAACATTCTCTAGCCGTTGGTCCGTCAGATTATTTTAATCGGACGGTCCAGGAGTTTTCACGATTTACTATTAGTATGCTTATATAACGTCGTCGTTTCACGCACATCTCCGTTGTTTTCCTTTTTTTTTGTTTCCTCTACTAAAACAAGTAAGAATTGGAAGATTTTGATTTCGGTCATCTCCGACTCTCAGAGAATAAGGAAGACGAAGACTAAGAAGAAGAAGGTGATTAACAATGGCGTACGTTAGTATGGGTGAAGCTCACCGGCGGATCACTGAATACTTAAACCGTTTCTGCGACGCCGTTTCGTACCAAGACTCTTCTACACTTTGCCGTCTCCTCTCTTTCTCTTCCAATTCTCCACCTCTTCTCTCACTCGCCGACGCACTCAACGTCTTCCAGGTACATCAAATTCTCTGATTTATCCTGTTTTAATCGAGACCCATGATGTAAATTAACAGCTTTGAAATACTAGGAGTATGTTTTTGCGATTAGTGTGGCACGATCTTTATGTTAGTAAAGTTTCTGGCTTTCTGGTTCAGTTTGAGTCCATGATGCTTACAATATGTTCCTCCAATTGCGTATTCGTATAAATTTTTTGAATTTAGAGCTCAATCTAGTAGGAGTACGCTCATGCGTTAAAAGAATGATCTTTATGTTATCAAAGTTTGTATCTTTTAGGTTCAATATCAATCGAGGATATTTAGAGTATGCTTTTCCAATGAGGTCCTCATACTTCACAGATGTGTCTGAATTTTGAATTTAGAGCGTGACACTCTCTGTCATTGAGTTGTTGTATTAAACACTTCCTGTCTATGTTTGAGTTTATGAGTATGAATTTTTTAATTAGGGCTTGAAACTTTTTGGATTTCTATGTAAAGAGCTGTGAAAGGGCTAAATCGTTTGAATTTTCTTTTCTTTGACTGATACAGGATGCTAGCAGTTTGATTAGACAGTCTGATAAGTTCTCTGAATATGGCGAGATTCTGGCCCATTTGTTTCGTTCTCTACAAAGTTACCGAGTTGGGAATCTAGTTGAAGCATACCTTGCTTTCGAGAAGTTTGCCAAGTAAGTTATTCTTGTTCCTCTCTGCTCCTCTATTAATGTCTAATTCGATTTCAGGGTTTTACCTGTGGTAGAATAGATAAGATTTGTGTGTTCCCAGTGTCTGATATTTGGAGGATTCTATATGTGCAGTGCATTTGTTCAGGAGTTTCGTAATTGGGAATCTGCTTGGGCATTGGAAGCTCTGTATGTAGTTTGTTATGAAATTCGAGTTCTTGCGGAAAAGGTAGTATCTCATTCGTATATCCCTTTTTGAAAATTTAAATCTTGCTTAGTTTCATTACATCGAGGACACAGTTCTGAAAGCATGACTTTTTCGCTTGGAAATACAGGCTGATAAAGAGTTAACTTCTAATGGAAAATCTCCCGAGAAATTAAAAGCAGCTGGATCTCTTCTCATGAAAGTTTTTGGAGTTCTTGCTGTAAGTTGCTCCTTATATCTGTCTATATATCTTCAGGAATATTAGTTAATGTTTGGCCCCTTATGTAGTTTTTAACTGTAGGGAAAAGGTCCAAAACGAGTCGGAGCATTATATGTGACTTGTCAATTGTTCAAGACCTACTTTAAGGTGATATGCTTTCTGCCAACATTTTGATATTTCTGGTTTCAAATGATTTTACAAGCACTCGTATATAATCATTTGGAATTGATTAACCACTAAAGGGAGTACTAAACACGTGTCCCTAACTCTGCATTTCAGCTTGGAACCGTCAATCTTTGTCGAAGTGTAATAAGAAGTATTGAAACTGCTCGGATATTTGACTTTGAGGAGTTTCCAAGAAGAGACAAGGTTAGTGAAATTCTCTGCAATCAGTTTTAGGTTTTGGCCTCCTGATTCTGTTACTTATTATCTTCTGTTTCTTCTTCACAAACACCAGGTTACATACATGTATTATACTGGACGATTAGAAGTCTTCAACGAAAATTTTCCTGCTGTGAGTCACTAAGAGATTTTCTCATTCTATTTCAGTTCATTTTGTAGTGTCAATCGAAATGTTGATAGTAACATTTAATCATTTCTTTGAATCTTGCAGGCTGATACAAAACTATCATATGCCTTGCAATATTGCAACCCCAAAAGAGAACGGAATATAAGGTCTGATTGTGTTTTTACTCTGTGATTACCTTACTCTTGCGTTTCGTTGCTTAATCAGCTTAAGTGGCTTTTGTGTATCAGGATGATATTAAAGTATTTGATACCGGTGAAACTTTCTATAGGAATTATACCAAAAGATGAGCTCTTGCAAAAGTATAATCTGCACGAGGTAACAACTTTCCTTATGTTCTATGCATTCTCTTCAATTCTACATCAAAACATATTTCTCATCTGGGGGTGATATTATATTTCTCTGACACCAACTTCTCTACATGTCCAGTACACAAAGATTGTGGAAGCTCTAAGAAAGGGGGATCTCAGGCTTCTCCGGCATGCTCTCCAAGAACATGAAGATCGGTATGTATTTCTTTCTACATCTTGGTTTGCTTATCTACACCCAAATGATAAGTCCTTGTGGTTACTTAAGTGCATGAGCATTGCAATTAGCGTAGGCTGCTTGTAGTGGATTGTAGCTATATTGACAGCTCAGTAACAACTGGTTAGGTAGAGTAGACAGCTAACAGGTTGAAAGAAAGTTGGGGCAGAAGGTTCGGGATATTCAGGATTTCTTTAGGAGTTGGGATTTGGAATGAGTATAGAGATACTTTCATTAGTTAAGTGACTCTATGATGCTTATTTGGATTCAATCTTCAAACACCTTAATATCGATCTAATACTCTTTGTACAGGTTCTTGAGGTCGGGTGTGTATCTTGTGTTGGAAAAGCTAGAGCTCCAAGTCTACCAGAGACTCATGAAGAAAATGTAAGCAAGATTAATGTTCAATCAATCCATCCAAGATTCTCTGATTACTTTAGTTTCTCATAACTCTTATTATCAATTTTTTTCAGTTATATCATCCAGAAGCAGAGTGATCCAGCGAGAGCTCACCAGCTGAAGCTTGAAGTGATTGCCAAAGCACTAAGATGGCTAGAAATGGA